AGGACGAAGTTTGGATCGTTTTTGGTGCGGAATTAGATTGTGGAAAGCTGTGGCGGAGGAGATCGCTGGGAGCAGGTGTCTACCAGCCAGAAGGCCCGTGGGAGGTGAGGGAATGTTTTCGCCTGCATTTCGAGGCGTTTTTGGAAGTTGAGCGATTCCAAAATCGGGTTTTAGGAAAATCCCCAAAAAAATCATTGAATTGCATGGGCACGAGGCGTTTTGCGGGGACATCGGAAAGGGTAAAAAAAAATGTAAAAATGTGTACAAAATCGACCAAAGATCGCAGATCGGGAAAGGCACAGAATGTGGGTGGTTTTGGGACTGTTTTTGAATGTTTTTGCTGTGCGCGGCAAGGCCCAAAAGAGTGTAAATTACAGTGTTTTTGCAAATTGTGACCTGAACAAAACTAAATGACAATGTAGCCCAAGCACTGTAAATACCGATGCGTTTGCAGGCGCGTGTGCAAAAAAACAGCGCAGATACCGCGTTGTTTGAAAAAACATCGTAAATACCGTGGTTTTGAGCGCCTGAGCATCAAAAAACATCGGTATGTACCGCGTAGTTTTGAGATATTTGGTAGTCAGGAAATCTGATATCTAAGATATTTCATACAATCTAAGTCGTTTGTTGGTGTCTTTTGTTGGTTTCTTGCGAACGATCTATTTGTAGGCAAGCTGGGGAAGAAGAAGCAAGAACGATGCCAGGTTTTTGTTTTTAGCGTAACCTGACTTTTGTCTTTTTTTATAAAGATTCAGGGGTCAAGTTTTGTGGTATCGCTCACATGTTGGATGTTACAGAAAATGTTCTGTGAATATGCTTGGAGATTGGATTTCTTGTATGTGCCTGAGATGCTGAAAGCGGAAAAAGTAGAAATATGATTGAATCCGTTTCAGGTGTGAAATCTTACGGGAGTGAAGATAGAAGTTGGAAATTTCAACAGAAGGGTACGGCGGGGCAGCGGCGTAGCCAGAACAGAAAAATACACACTATCCATGTTTTTCATGGTGTACATGAAGTTGCGCTATGTTTGCGCGATGATCCAATTGTGCCATGTATGGCTCTTTCTATGAACGAACTGCGCGATGCCAGAGTATTTCACGCGTGGATGTGGACACATGGTTCAATTTTAGTGGGTAAAAGTTTGTGCAAGGTCATCCGCAGAGGAGCGAGGCGCATCCATGCAGTGATTGATGATTGTGGAGAAGCGGAGACTAGAGCCGCTCGCTGCTTGCTGCTGACTCGCAAATTTTTCTCCCTTGCTGCAGCAAGTGCGTGCTTGGAGCCGCTGCACTGCGAACCGTCCTGGGAAAGCTAAGTCGAACAGCAAAGGGACTTTGATCCCGAGTGTAAGTATTCAACTATCCAAAGAATGTAATATTTAACATATAGCCGCACGAGGCGGTGACGGAAGTCTCGAAAATATAACATCTATAGGAGTTGAGTGGGAAACGGCGCCGCCAGGGGTGTCCCGACTGGAAAAGTGTTTGGTGATGATGATGATGACGATGATGATGATGAATCTGTATCTTCAAGATCATTCAATACTGCGCCCGTCTCCATGTCCACATCCTCCATGTCCACATCCTCCATGTTGGAGGTGGGCCAGTGCGATGGGAAGGTGGGCAATGGTACTTCACCCTCCCCTGGTGCCATGGACAAAGCCAGCGCAAGTTCCATCTCCAGCTCATCGTCTGACAAGCTGTCCACCAAGGTGGGTGGCACATCCATGCCCCAGCCACCTCCCACTACCACCACGGCAAGCAACAACTTCAAAGCCATTACCTCAGATGTACAAGTCGGGGTCAACTGGCAAACCAACTAAAAAACAAACAAAACAACAAACAAACTAAACAAAAATAAGTGGGCGAGCACATGCATAGTTGAGGTTGAGTGAGGTTGAATGGGTGAGTGAGGTTGAATCAGTGAATGAGTGAATGAGTGAGTGAATGAGGCTGAGTGAGTGAGGTTGAGTGGGTGGGGTTGGTTGAGTGAGGTTGAGTGGGTGACAGGTTGAGTGACTGAGGTTGAGTCACTGAGGTTGGGTGAGTGAATGAGTGAGTGAATGAATGAGTGACTGAGGGAGTGAGTGAGTGAGTGAGTGAGTGAATGAGTGAGTGAGTGAGTGAGTGGGGCTGAGTGAGTGAGTGAGTGAGTGAGTGGGTGAGTGAGTGAGTGAGTGAGTGAGGGTGACTGAGTGAGGTTGAGTGGGTGGGGTTGGGTGAGTGAGATTGAGTGAGTGAGGTTCAGTGATTGATGTTGAGTGAGTGAGGTTCAGTGAGTGAGGTTGAGTGAGGTTGAATGGGCGGGGTTGAGTGAATGAGGTTGGGTGAAAGAGGTTGGGTGAGTGAAGTTGAATGCGTGGGGTTGGGTGAGGTTGAAGTTGGGTGAAGTTGAGGTTGTGTGAGGTTGAGGTTGCATGAGGAGTGAATGAAGTTGAATGAAATGAGGTTGAGTGGGTGGGGTTGAGTGTGTGCCTCAACATACATGCTAACACTCACTCTCACTTTGCAACCTTCACCTCCAAGATCACCAAATGCTACGACTGTCACGAAAAATGATTGCTAGCGCTGAGCAACCTTCACTTTGTATTGCGCCTGCCACGAATCTTTCCCTCGAAGGTCGGCAAATGCTGCGCCTGTCACGAAAAATGACCGCTAACACTTAGCAACGTTCACTTCGTCGTGCGCCGGCCACGAAAGTTGTACCTCAAAGCTCACGAAATGCTGCGCCTGCCACGAAAAATGAACGCGACCGTTTCAGTCAGAATTCCAAGGCACAGCATCCGAACCCAAATTAAGCACGCCCAAGTCCTGCACCTGCCACGAAAGTGTGACTTCGATGTTACAAAGCGCTGCGCCCGCCGCGCGAAACGCAAATCCGCCGGCGCAATTCTTGCGCTTGCTACGAAAAAGTGATTTCCATGTTACAAAGTGCTGCGCCTGTCACGCGGAACGCTCGCGCGGCAGCACCGCGTTCTATGCCTGCCACGAAAACGTTACTTCGATGTTATAAAGTGCTGCGCCTGTTACGCGGAACGCTCGCACACCCGCACCGCGCGCTGCGCTGGCCACGAAAAAGTGACTTCGATGTTACAAATTGCTGCGCCTATCACTCGAACGCCCGCGAGACCGCCGTGACACAGCGCGCAAACAGAGTAGCTTTGACGACCGCCTCGACGCACTTTACTTGAGAAAACGCAACGTTTCGCACCATCTTTACCAAAAACTCAACGTTTTTCTGCCTTGTCGTGCCTCTGCCTGGACTTTCCCTTGGCGTGATGTTTGACGTACTTGACTTTTCTACTTACTTGACATTCTGACTGAGATGACTATGCCGCTTGCGCTATGCTACTTTCCGTAACTCGGACGTTTCTCAACTAAACTTCCTCTGACAATGGATCTGAAATGGTGAAACAGCTACGCTTGATGTGACTATAGAATATTGGAACTTGCAGAGGAATAGTACAGTGGGAAGGTCCTGAACTGTTCAGCTGCTTTCTGTTGGGCAGCTTTGCAGCAACTCTGGACGTCTTTGAGTGGAAGTTTGATGAACCATCATTGGCAGTCAACTGTCCGCGCGCAGTGGGTGCAAATAATCCATGTGAGAAAGGATTTTAGTGCCCTACTAAGATGCATTGGATCTTCATATTATCAGTATGTGTGGTTCCTATTCCCAACAGAGGAGCAAGGTCCTTCTTCGTCAACTTGTCGTTTGCGGCGCAGCAACGCACAGGAAGCTGCCGGCAACGCTGCAGGTCCTTGGTTGGAAGTTCTTTTATCCGTGGCAACCAAGCTGTTCATGAAAGAGGTTATCCACGAGAAATGCCAGTGTTGAGCAGACGGTGACCTATGTTTCCAAAGGAATCTGTATGTAACAATCTCTGGGGAGAAATAACAAATCTCTCGGCTGAACTCCAACCATGGATTTGCTCTGGCGTGCCACCAAAGCAGCCCCCGCAGGCAAAAGAGACACCAGGCGCACGCAATCGCCCGGCGGTGGATTGTGATAGTGCGGGGCCAACAGTGCCTGCGTCCTGCGAAGAACCTGCTCCAGCACCTCGCACATAATTGGGAATCCCTGACTAAAATCTCCTCCCACAAAGGTCACTCCCAATTCAAGGATCATTTGCCAAAAGCTATAGCGCCTCGCTTTTTCGCAAGGTCATTATGTATGTGAATGCTACACACACGCCAAAAAGGACTTCCAGCTCGTTCCACAGCTTGTCCTTGCGCATCCTCCCAAGACACCACCGCCACCAGAAAATGCAGCCTCTCCGCTTCAACTTTCCATTCGTTCGTGACCTCTTTGTTCACAAAGTTCCCATCTTTGATCACTTCTATTTGCTTATTTGCTGTCTGCCCGTGCCACCCATTGCAATCAAAAGGTTTCCGCCGCACCCAGTCACAAATGAATACCCGAAGGTGCGCAATGTCCGCTTGAAGTCCAGGCTATATGCCTCTTGAAGTAATAACAAGTGAAGTTTTCCTGCCAAATATGACTGCACTCTTGTATAATCAGTGTTTCCGTTTCTTCCCAATTTCTTTTCGTTGTGCTCTGGGAGTGCCAATTGCAAACTGGTGTCGGACGCTATGCCTTCTGGGGTTTGGTGGCTTCAAGTGCTCGAAAAATTGCATTGCCTTGAGCCCTTTCCGGGATTGCAGCAAAGAGGATTCTCTTCAAAACAGGGGAGAAGAAGAAGGAAGGTTCAAGCCCTCACCACACACTGGGTTTCTAGGCAAAACGGTGCCGGCTGCAACAATCTACCACTCATATTCCATGCTATGTACAGCAACTGCGATCTCCTACACTCTCATTTCCTTCCAATTTGCAGGATTTGATACGTTTACTTATGTGTTTACCTTCGTGGTTCTCTGCTCGCTGGCCTTCCCACGATTCGCAGCCACCTATCATACGCAACACACTGACCTGTCCACATCCGGGCGCGCCTCCAACTTGCTGCTTGAGCCCGAGGGCATCGCCGGTGTGCGAAGCCTATCAATACTAACTAAGGGACCTCCATTCATTGCGCCACCCCTTAGCCCATGCGGTCCGGTCGTCCGAAGCACACGACGGATCGTCGTCTTGCGGGGGGGGAAGCCGGCCCGGGCACCATGACGGCGATCTTCTCCAACTTCACGTAGAGCGGATCGTTGTACTTGCACACAAAATATCTCCTGAACCGCTTCCGGGACGACTCGTGACTTCCTGGACGCCCCACACGCGGGGCCCCCGACACAGAACGGGGCAGAGAACACGCGTCACGACGTACGTGGAACCTGTGCTGGCCATTCTGTGCCATTCGGCGCTGTAGTTCAAACATAGAGACTGAGCACTCTATACAGGAAAATGATGAGATCTGCCTCATCTTGAAGGGATGGTGCAAAAAGGTTGCTGTGTTTGAACAAGACCAAAGTAGAGGAAAATCCTTCTTCCAGTCATCCAAATATACAGTTTTAATATAAAGCTTGGACTCTCAGGGGTTATACAGTAACTCTCTAGATGTCTCCCTGTGGTGAAAGGCTAGCGGCCAATGCGGTTCCCCGCCGAGTTCAGATGGCCAGGTGTTTTTCACTCCACTTCCATGGATTTTCAAGGAGTGTGGTGTAGCTCCTCCGCCAGCCCAACCGATAGAAAACCCAAGACTTTGGACTGCAGACAGGTGGTTTTCTGCTCAACTCCTACCAGTCCAGCAGCACACAGCTGGAGCCCAAGTCAGCCAAGGGTCACATCCGTCTGCAGCATGTTGGGCTGCTTCTGGACAATGAGGTTGATGTTCCTCATGACCACCTGACAGTCCGATGAGAACTTGGCTCAAGAACATTCAGAAATGAGTCACCAGGAACTCAATTCCATCCATCCCAGAATTGGTTTCAGGGAAAGTATACAGGTAACCCATAGTTTTGGCCATGAAAACAAAGGTTTCCAGTAGATCTTCACTTCACGACACTCCCCAACTCGCAGCTCCTTCCGACCCTGACGCTGGTGGTGGAAGGGCGACCGCCACGCCAAGCCCCGAAAAAAAAGCCCGACCCAAGCGCGCAGCTCGGGAGAGTCGGAGCGGTTTCTTGAGGAAGAGGTGCCTCGAAACCATACCCTGGCCGAAGTGAACGATCTTTGCCAGACACTCCATGGGACTAGCATATTTACCTACATTGACCCCTAAAACCACCCCAATGTAGGTAAATATGCCAGTCCCATGGAGTGTCTGGGATTTAGCACCACCAGAAGTGCCGAGGAGTCTGCCAGACGTCTCGAAACCCACGCAGTCTGTCAGTCGCTTCTGCCCTACCGCCCCCTGACGTCGTTCGCGCCACGCGTTCGTGCCGTGAACGCGTTCACGTCGCGCCACGCGTCCGGCTGGTGGGGCCCCCCGGCATATTGGATCTCGGGCTCCGCGGACAGCATCGTCAGCAAGGGCGGGGTCATCTTCCGGCAAATGGACCGCACCTGGACAAGGTACGATGGAAGGACCCTGCGGTGGTTGGGTCTGATTCACCTGGGTGGCGGTCTGGCGCAGTTTTTTGATGGGATGATTGGGTGACCCTAGGATTTTGATGTGGCTTCCCGCCATTGATTTATGGGTTGGATCCCGAATAACATGGTTTTGATATGTTTTAAGATGGTTTAATCGTCTTAATAAGCTTAGGCTTAAGGGTTTTGGACTACAAGACCAGGTCGTCTGTTGAGGGTCTTAATTTATAATAGTCATTTACTCAGTAACCACATGACCCAAGTTCTCCCAGTGAGCCACAACACTCTCATTGCGACGGACGCCTAAACCCCGACTGGTCTCAGTTTCGGACAGCTCCAAGCACATCACAATCATCACAGTCCCCCCCCCCTCCAACCCCAAGCACAGTCCCTGACCCTTCTTCCGGACCAGCTTCTCCTCCGGAACCCCCTTCTGGCCCTCTCTCCGTCCGACGTCCGTCCCAACGTCCGGGAGTTCCCCGCCAACTCTTGGCTGTTGAGGCGATCCATGAACTTCATGATGACCTTGATGGCCTTCGACATCGACACCGGTCGCAGCGTCCGTCGCGTCCGTCACCGTCAGAAAGGGACGGTCAGGAACTGCTGGAAACAAGCCTAGCGCTTTGGGGTTCCTGGCCCCAGCCATCGATTTAAGAGGCTGAATCCCAAACAACCCAAGCCGTTTTGCCAAGGATTTGACACTACAAACCTGGGTCAACGATTCCTTTATATAATGGTCTTGGAAGTGTATGAAATGGTTGTCCGGTCAAAGCCATTAAATCTAATTCGTTCTAATTCTGATACCTGGATCATCCCTTCTGGGGTCACCTGGCTAGAGGGCCTTACACAAGAACCTACCTGAAGTCATGCAACCGCGTTTTTTCTCGAAGGATTTTGAACTACAACGCCAGGTCAACCTCTCTTTCAATGGTCCTATGTCATGGTCTCCAAAGGCAAGGGTATACTTATGAACCTTCGAACAGGACACCCAGGCAGTGTCCCGACAGGTCAGCGACAGAAGCAGCGACAGGTCACCAAAGGCAGTGTCCCGGCCCGGCTTCCACTCTTCTATGATTTCAATTTGCTGATTGGGAAACCGGTTCCCAAATCTCTTCACCCCACGATGTGTCAAACAAAGCATCACCGAACTGGAGGGCTCCAGGGGGTGACCGTGAAGCATCTGGGATCTCAGTTGGGGCCACTTTGAAAGAACTAGGAGAATCATCCAGGAGTTGAGCCGAGCCCGGGGTGGTGTGGCTCGTCCCATCCAGGGGCTGTGGATGTGACGACGGGGCACCCCGGAACCGGCACCCTCCGAGTCCGCACCCACCGAACGTGACTGCTGGATGATCACGACCCAGTTCACAGGGCCCGAGCTTCCAGCCCCCCCGGTGGCACCACCCTGCCACGACCTCTACCGCCACCGCCCCTGCACATCCTTCATCCGCCCGGGTTGCTCTAAAAATCCGTCCTCCTCCCGGGTGGTCCCCCCGCCGGAGTTCCCCCTCCCCCCAGAGGGGAACGAAAGCACAGGCCGGCGGTACTGATAGAACCACCTGGGCCGAGGTTTGCAGCGCTTGGAAACGTTCCTGACGTTCCTCCGATTTGAAACGAGCAGAATCTGCAAGCTTCTCCAATGGCAAGCTTCTCTCACCGGCCTCAATGACACTTTTCCACACTCAAAGGCCCAAAGGCCAAAAAGAGACATCCATTCGTTTTGGATGCACCATTCACGCCAAAACTCCAATGCGTGAACAGCCTCGTTGTTCAACAGGCGGCAAGGGCCAAAATCCCTAAACCGCTCGAGAAATCACTGTACATGTCTGGGACTGCCATGTCGGACTGCCTTCCAAACGCCCGGCCAGGGGTGGTGGTTGACTGGGGGGATCTGTCTGGCGGCAGTCCGACATGGCAGTCCCAGACAGGTCGTGTGTCTGGGTCTGATATCATATGAGTGTGGGTTCCTGGCACAGGACGACCTGGGTTGACCAGCGAAGCGAAAATGAACATGAACAGAATGAGTTGCACCGGACAGTCCGCGGGTTTGAACCTGCAGCCATCTCCGTTCTTATGAGGTTTGATGGAAGATGATATGCAAGTTTCCCCCCTTGGCTTGGTCGAAAAAAAGAAGAAAAAAAGCAAGCGACTGCTAGGTCAGCAAATTCTCATTTCAGACCTCTTGATTTCAAAACACCTGCCTGGAAACCCCAACAACCACAAATGGTTATTCCTATAATGGCAATTGTTTGATCCTTTGCATAGAAGTGGCTGCATCACTTTGTTTCCAGTTGGCAATCGTTCAATCCTTTACATACAAAGTGGTTGGTGAGCTCCATCCTCTTCTCTCCAGTTGCGACTAGTCACTGACTACTCCGGATCTGCGAGAACACCTGCAGCTGCAAGAACCTTCCAACCACGAAACTGACATCCCCCCGCGACGTGACCTCTCTCCGCGCCCTCTGGGCTTCGCCACCGCGCTGTTGTGATGATGCAGCGTCGCCACCACACCTCTCGGCATCGCGTCGACGAAGCTTCGGTGCGCTCCCCGGCCGAGGGGTCGAGGTTCGCTCGGATGGTGTGGCAGGAACCGGCATATGGCCCGGGGATTGGCTCGGAAAGGGTGCTGAGGGGATTCACCCGTATGTTAGGGAAACGAAAAGTAATCCTTATGAGCAAACGCCAGGTTTGGTTCCTCTTCAATCGTAGTCTATGCTCTGAAAAAGCAAACACTCCATGGGACTGGCATATTTATATACGACCCACATGATGGGATGTTTTAGGGATCAATGTATGCATTGTCGTTGAAACATACACATATTCTAGCCTTCCAACACCGTTTAAAATGGTTGACCTGGTTTTGTAAATAACCTTAGCAAAACAGCGCAAGAAACAGTGCGGCATTCCAGACTCAGCTCGCTTGGCACCCGGCTCCCTGGTAGAATCATATATCTTCCACAAGGGGATTGACCCATAAGCCATAGGGAAAATAAAACATCACCTTAAGCAAGACATAGCAAGACCAGGTCTTTATATAAAGGCTTAGGAGATGATGTAAACTCTCGATGGAGTGACCACCCCACCCTGGACATGGATTGTAAAGCTTCTTCAGGCTCAGGGGGTTGAAATAGAAACCAGAGTCCACCATGATCTTCCATGACTCACCAGGATGCTTATTTTTGCTTACATAAGGAACTGGAATTCCTCGATTTCGGGGATTCACCCACAGTGCAAGACGAAAAAGACCTCCGATCGGCAAAACCCAGGCGAGTGTGAAGAGAGAGAAGCCTTGGAAAACCTCCCAGCTCCCGTGGATGTGGCCACTTCCAGCAGATTACAGTAGCTCTTTGCAATCATCACTAGACCACAGAACCGCTCGCCCAAACCCAGGCCCTACTCCAACGACCAGCTTCTACTCCACCCACCAGCTCGGCACGCCGGCAAACGCGGCGAAACAGCGCGAACCAGCGCGGCCTTTCTCCAGGATGGCTTCCGCCACCTTGGAGTTCGGTGGGTCGTAGATCGCCAGAGCCTGGGCATGGATTGCCTCCCGCCCCCGGCCGCAGGGCCGAGTTCCTTCTCTGCAGAATTGGCCTCTTCCCGGCCGAAGTTGGCCCGCATGCAATCAAAGACGGGAAAGACTACCAGTGACCCACGTGTCTAAGGAGCTATCTATTGGACACCCCGAGTTGCGGAGGCCCTAGAGGTGTTGCAGTGTAACATGTTCTAAGGAAAACCAGCTCGGTGGTGCGGGAATGCCAAGCAGTCAAGCAGCTCGGGTTCGGCGACCGTACCGAAGCATCGCGAAACCATGAGGCCTGATCCAAGTCCCAAGGCTGGGCTCTGCAGAAACGGGGCCGGGCCGTCTTTTCGCAGAATCATCTGCCAATCTAGGAGCTCTTCCCCAAAAAAAACAGGACTGTTTCTGGTGTTAAAAGAATAACCATATCAGCAATCATAAGTTAAGGAGCATGTTTGGACTTTGGACTTGAGCAATGGATTTGCAGGGGTTCACCCAAGGGATGTGAACAATTATAGACCATCCAATGCAATGAGATACGAAGGGTGATGACGATAGTGTCCATTTTGTGGAGACTGCTGAAAATTGCCATGGATGGAGATAGCAAATAGCACCACCCCACACGAAAACCACCAAAACCAGGCACAACACCCTCATGCACAATCCATGGATGCACCATCGATCAACCATCAAAACAGCTGGGGGAGGTTTTTCTTGGGGTTCTTCTTCGTGGTGATCTGAAGCACTTGGAGCATTCCAAGAGAGGTTACCTGAACTAGGACCTGTATCCTGGGGTACCCAACTGGGATAGGCTAGTTCGGGCCATGATCCACCAACAGTGTCTACCAGGACCTTCCAAATCCGGGTGGTTTTTGGACACCCCTTAACCTCTTAAGAGGCTATTTATAGACACTTGGAAGGTCCTGGTATAGGGTCCTGACCCACCTCTGGTAGGAGCCATGGCCAGCTTGGGGGCAAGGACCAGAATCATCCGGACGTGGATTGCTCCAGCACCTGCTGGGTCTGATGTCCTGGACCTCACCTCCAAGGGCGAACGGGGCCACCCCAGAAACCACGGCAGAACCCGAGTTCAGTGGGATGCGAGCTACTCTCTACATTCGCTCAAATGTGCCTGGTTTGGGTGGTATTGACTCTCTACACTCGTGAAGATCTAAGGCATCTCTACACATCTAAGGCTGCTATCTAGGCACGAAGCACCAGAACTTTTTGCCTCACTCGATCCTGCACACTTGGAGCCTTCTGAGATGATGATGTCGTGATCATATATGTCCTCCGTTTCCCTGCTGGAGCCGGTGTTTCCTGAGGTGAAGCTGTCTCATGGCTTTCGAACCGCATCCTCCAACGGTCTAAAAGCCCTCCACTGTCCCTCCAGCAGGGGCTGCTGGCAGCCGGTGGCTGAGGGCTCGCACATCCAGGATGAAGACTTGTCCCCATTCCTCGGCGCCGGCGAGCAGCACGGAGATAAAACATTCAAGTCGACCTTGATCACGGGGATTTCCCAAACGAGGGGGAATAGATTGATGTAACCTAAACCAGGGCCCTTACCTTCGGTAAGGGGTGTCCAATCATAACCCCTTAGAGGTGAACATGGGTGTCTAAACTACTCCATGGCCCACAGGTGCACCTTTGCACCTTGGAAGTGGCCAACCCTCGAGTTGCTTTCCTATCACTTTCACTCCCACGGGGGTCCCACGGTCCCTTCTGCCTCTGGCAAAGCCTCGATCACTTGGATTTGCGGCACCGATGGAAAGAAACCAAACATCTTCCCCCTCTTCCGGGGAAACCAGAAAGAATAGAACACCATGGTTTTAAGATGTGGACATCAAGAATACCATAAGCCTGGTTTTTACCAATTCTTTTCACATATAAAATCATATAAAGGTAAAAGCCAGAAAGATGAACACCATATATAAGTTTCATAAGAACATCCTATTATGCTAAATTTAATGGTGCGGAGGAAACCAACTCTTACAGATAGGTGCACATCAAACAACCACCCAAGCCAATCCACCAAAAACCAGCCGCGGGCGCCCAAGTGTCTGAGCATTGATTCAGCGCAGGAAGCAGCCGGGAGATCACATCCTCCCGATCGACAGTTGGGTTTCGGCGAAGATGTCATGGAGTCGGGTGTCGTAAAGAGCAGATACACGCCCCTATATGCCCCAACAAAACAAAAAGAATGCTACAATCCCGCCCCCAAGCCGCAGATTTGCACACGAAGAACTGTTGTACACGACGTGTGAAGGGAGGGTCGAGCAGATCTGAGCGTCGCCGATGGTGAGCAATTTGTGGCCGGGGAGTGGGAGTCCAGTCGACCAGTTTTAATCGTTGCCTTGTTTTTGCAGTGCAAAATCCACCGCGGCATCCTGGCGCATATGCGCTACGCCTCGTCGAGCTTCAAGAAGTTCTGCCGCGCCGAGGTGCTGATCTCACAGAGAGAGGCCACGGCATTGGCCACCACCATCCTCGGCGTTGATCTGACCCAGACACGACGAATGGGACTGCCGTAGGACTGCCGCCCCCATTGACCCCCCTGGCACCACCCCCAATGTAGGCATATATCATATATGGATATATATGGCATACATGGAGTCTATGGGTGAGATGACGAAGATCTCAGATCCAGGCGAGGCGAACATGTGACTCGGGTGATGGTTGTCTCAGTTGATCGTTCTTTGAGTTGATCCCAGGAAAGATCTCATGTTACCTGTTGAGCTCAGTTGATGTCTCTGTTTGTTCCAGTTCATCTCAATCTCAGATCTCAGTTTACTTATCCCAGCTTTCCTGATTTGGGATGAAGCCTCTGCTCAAGAGTGGGTACAGTAGTAAGAACCTGAATCCAAACCATGCGAGTCTCACGATTGGAAGAACCGGGCGAACATGGGAGTAACTACCCTAGAAGTCCAAAGCCTATATTTGACACCACCAATAAGTAAAGGAAAGTCCTTTCGGGTCATCTAAAGACCATGTTTGAACTGGTCTTGGCCTCCGGAATATCGGATGTCCCGCAACCATTCCATCTCCACACCAACCCAATGGAAGTCCAAGACGACTTTTTAACATAGTCACACCATGTTAGACCGAAAGGAACCTCCGTTCACTCTGCTGCTAGATACATTCGAACTGCGCCTCAGGGGAGATCCAGAAGGTCAGTCCCAGGTACCATAGACCTCCCAGCACCCGAACGTCACAGGTCACCACCTGCCAGGGTCGGACCGTCTGCCATGGTCCGAACCCACCACGCCGGTCCGCGTTCGCCGAGCGCCCACCGACTCGAAACGACCTCCCAGCACCAACTGGGCCCTCCGCACGGGTTGGCGTCTCCCAGCATATCGCGCAGGATCTCCAGAAAGCCCTGCCCGTTCTCCGACCGCCGCATATCGGTGGTCCCAGCTGCGTGCAGCTCGGTAGAGGGTTTAAGGGGAAGGAAAGGGAAGACACCATGCCGGGTGAAGAGTCCACGAAGACGCATGGTTTCTCGATGGTTTTACAAGGATGGGGCCTGGACGCCTAAGGTGACCCGAAAAAGACCAACAGAGATTGAGGAACCTTAATTCGACTATCCCAGTTGGGTACCTCAGGTGTTCCGAGTCCTATTGACGGTCACTTCACCTACCTCTCTTGGGAGGAACTTCCTGAAGCGTTTGGTCAAAAGATCTGTCTTTGGACTTCCAGCGTGCCAAGAGAGATAGGTGAAGTGACCGTAAATGGGACCTGTCACCCGGGGGTACCAGACTGGGATAGTCTATAGGGTTGGTTCTTCAACCTCTGTTGGTATGGGGTTTTGGCTGGTTAGAGACCATCATTGGGTCATCTGAATCCTGCATACTTAGCTCCCTGATTGACCTTCCCCCGGAGGGGTGGTGGTGTTCACAGGTGTTTGATTCCCCAAGACGATTTGCTGTGAGTTGAGAATCTCTCACTTCATCCACACTCCTGCAATACCTCACCTTGAGCAGTCTTCTACATCTTGTCCTTTAGTGACATCAATCACATGTGGACACTCCAAGCACTCTCCAGTCCTCCCTCCCCGAAAAGTGGACGCCGTGGGCGCCTGGTCTTCGACCAGCTCGGGATTGATGTCGTAGAGCTTGGCCACGCACATCGTCGCCGTCTTCCGCACGTAGGGATCGGCATCTTGACAGCTCCTGGCCGCAGCTCAAGAGAGGTTCAGGGACCTGAACATTCGGACCCTGTAGTGGATAAGAATTGGGCGAAAAAGGGCTGTTCAACCTCTAGGCTGGCAGCTCTGCTGGCTTTGCTGTGGGGAGACTGAGAATTGGTGTGCGGTCTCTATATGCGCTCTGTAATTTTGGGCCAGTGCGAAATTGGGGCAAAGGATACTGGCCCAGCCTTGATCGTCATGTGCTGAACCTCCCCACTCAGCTCCAGTCCAACATGCGGTCTGATCCAGGGCGGAACGGCGTCCGTGTACGTTCAGAGGCTTCCTGCGCAAAGGCTCCAGGAGGTACTCAGTCATCTGCTCCAGGCGGATGCACCCCATGGTGCGAACCTCGGTTCCAAGAGCTCCGGTTTTCCTCCGAAAGCTCGGCAGGTGCGATGAAATCCATGGTCCGGTTGGTAAGAAGCTTCTTGGAAGATGGAGAGAATGTGGGAGAAGATCTGGCACCCCTATGCCCTCTGGGAGAAACAATGGTGATGCCATGCCACGTGATGCCTACCTTTGGGAAGAAACTGCAGAGCAGGAACCTGGTTCTTCAAAGTGACCGTACTTGATCACCTGGTTGCTTCGGTCACGAACAAGCCTCCGAGTAGCGTGGGTCACGAAAAGGAACCTGAAGAAGCAGGTCACGAACTGAAGAAGCTGGAAGATGTGAAGGATCATAAGGTTCGATCGTCGAAGATCCTGCTGAGTTTGGGTCTGTCAATCGGAATGCTTAAAATCCTGCCTTGTGCCTGAGGGGTAAAATTCTCTCACATCCAAAAGCCATATAGCTTTTAGGTAGCCCTCCAAAAAACCTAGAAAATCCAGAAATTCGTGAATTTGCAACATTGGATCCTCAGCAGGTTCCTCCCTCTCTCTGACTTCATTCACACCATCCGGCTCGCTCTCCGAGGCGCCGCCAAGGCCCTCAGCAAGGGGTTGTTGGGATCGTTGGCATCCTGCGCCAAGCTCCGCAAGGAAGGCCAAAGAGAACCGATGTCCAGCTGGGTCATCCGCAGGAAGGAATGGAGGGGTATGGTACCAAACATCCATAGACTGGACTGGCGTTTTTGGTTTTGTGTTGTTTGTTTTGTTTTTTCCAACCCAGGGGACATGCCCTAGTCTATTGCGTTTAAAAAATAACAACTATAAAAACACCTGGAAAGTGCAATCTCCCAATGAACAGATGGCCGGCACCGAAACTTAAACATAGTGAAACAAGTTAGTTGGAAGTGCTGTGCGAAGCTCATCACCAAAAGGAGGGTCGCCCCCCGTGCAAACCCTTCATGCTCATCCCAAAACCATCACAACTCTTCGAAGGCTCGAAATAGGTTTCCTGTTCATGGAAGAGATTCTGCACCATCTGCAAGCCGCCCAACAAAAAAAGACCCGCTCCAGGTTCTTTCACTGCAGGCTGTGCAGGATCTCTTTCGTCAAGCTCAGATCTCCAAGATCCAGGCTGCTACCACCCGAAATACTGCGACGACCAACGGCTCATTCTCCAAGCTCCGGACCCCTTTCGATCCACGCCTTCCGAAAGGAATGGATGGCCAGGATCGCCAAGTCTGGCTGCGCCTCCCGCTTTCAAGGCATGGATGCGATCAGCTGATCAGCTGATCAGCTGGTTTGGGGGGGAGGCTTTGGGTTACTGATCGTGGAGAGGTCAAAGGAAAAATGATTTGGTTGGCTTCCTTGAACTATGAGGTGCTTTATATAGAAGGGAAATCTGTTGTTTCATTGTTTCCCTTTGATCATTATTTCCTTATAGAGTTCCAAGACCATTGTAAAAGAATTGTTGACCTGGTCTGTAGCGTAAAATCCCTAGTTGGTTCGGGATTCAGCCTATTAATTTAATGGTGGAGCAGGACGTCCAGACATTGGTTCTCCTGCGACACTGTGGTGAGATTTTCTATGCCTGGCCATGAATGGTCAATGGCCCTAGCTAGGTTCTCCATCTTTGGCACCCAAGACCCAACAAGACAAGTGGATTCCGTCGCATCTTCGCGTGTTGAAGTCACCTCTACCGCCGCTTGGGTGCGCGATGTGCGCTGCAAAGGGGCTGGTAAGTCACATCAGGGCGGTGAAAAAGGTCACATCAGGTTATTTATACTACCCGCAGATGACATAGGAGTTGTGGCACGTTCGTGAGATGGGCGCCCAGCAACAAGTCCTAACAGCGAACCGAATGCAAGACCCTATCTCACTTCCTTTCAGTGAACTGCATGAGTACGGTGACGTGAAGGGATGCATGTGTGTGTTTTTTTTTCTCAGAGTTCTCAGGTGAAAACCAACGAGGATGGCGTAGTACAACCCACACCCTGTGTGTTGTTGATATGACAGGCCATGCAAAAACGACACACAGACCTGGGTACGCTGCTATCTGCTGCCGTTCCGGGACGGCAACTGAGCTGCTCTCTTGAGTCCTCCACATCGAACGTAGCAACAAAGCCGCAACCACCTCCCTCAACCCTGACAGGGTGGGGGGAGCCATCGAACTGCACCCAGAAATCGTTTCGAAACAAACAAAAACCTCGGAGACACCAAGCTGGGACGCTGACGGCAAAATCAACAGAATCCAACCAAAAAACAAAAAATCACATCAAATGCACAAGATTCATAAAGGAATCGGCAAAAGCAACACGCAGCACCCCCCCCGCAAGGCGGACACTCCAAGAATACGGCTTAAAAACAAGAAGATACGACTTAGCTCAACAACCTAGTACCCTTTTCCGGGTGGTTGGTTTTAATCAATGAGTGGGAACTTGAAGTGGGATTCGTTTTGTTGAGGCCTCTCCAGAAACGGACAAGAAAATCGTACAAGCAAGATCAAGCAAGGCAGAATCGCATGTGCGAAGACTGAATACTTCCGATGACATGGTGAG